TTGTTATCTTAAAATAATTTTGGCAGACTCTCGTACAGATGGAATTTTATGCCACTGCTCGCTCTGAGAAGTACTTCAAAGACCCTTTGCAGTTCAAACCGGAGCGTTGGATTAGAGAAAGTAAAGACGTCCACCCCTTTTCTCATCTACAGTTTGGATGTGGGCGTCGAACGTGCGTTGGTAAGAAAAGAAGAAACAAAACACCATAACGAAGTAGCCTGCGCCGATCATTCCCTCTTAAAAAAAATTGAAACGCGTGACTGCAGGTTGATAATGACACTGATCGTCATACTGTAATTTCTCTGGTAACCCAACCTCCCCCTCCCCGACCCCACCGCCCGCCGTGGAGAAAGCTACACCTCGTACTATTAGTCAATGTTATCTTACACCAAGCTTTCAGGAAATCATAAAATGCGGTTGTTTCAAAAATATATGGACAAATCAAATCGTGGAGAGGAGGGTAGCGTATTAGAAATGGAGCATGATGAAATTTCATTGCTTTAAACTGGAGCTTTTAAAAGGTAGTAATGGGGTTGAAAAGTAGGAAAGGCTTATTACAACAACGTGCCTCCTATATGAAAGAAGAATCAAGTTCCATGTCCACTGGACTGCTCCAGCGCCGCATCTGAATCACGCAGCTTAAAGCTTACTTACCATGCTAAAGCAAGATTTGGACAGGCTATATTTACGCTCATTGAAGTCCGAATAAACTTGCTTCTTTTATCGAAGTTGCGGGTCTGTTTTTGGGGACAAAAAGATGGATAGAGTAATTTCTAGAACTACTAACACTATGGCCTCCCACGCAGACGTTCTTAGGGGTTCGTCACGCGTTTCTGCCCCACTAACGTCGTTCGTAGGGGCAGGAACGCGTGACGAACCCCGCCTAAGAAGCTCTGCGTGGGAGGCTACTAGCATTAGGGCGTAATTATGAATGAGAACTGTTTTGCTGTATACCTTAATCATATCATATGGCTGGACTTACTACAAAGAAGTACTGAGTGTTTTCTTTCCAACAAATACGGCCAGGGAACGTTTGAACAAGCAATCATAATACCAATATTAAAATACATAAATGCGAATGTTACATGTGATTCTAATGAATAAAATCTAGCTGCACCAATTGTACATTTTTTTCACGGCAGGTCGTCGCGTAGCTGAATTGGAGATGTACGTGTTTATGTGCAAGGTTAGTAATACTAAATAGTACCCATAATCGAGTGGTTTTGTAGTTGCTTTGGCTTCCATGCTACCATTAGATTTGCGTAACTAGCCATCTTTAACTGGTTTTAAGAAAGAATTGAAAACATATCTTTTTAGGCAATTTTTAGAGAGTGGGTCATTGTTTTTGTAAACGTTATGATTTTAAGACCTGTAATATAATAATTGTAAATAGATTTACATTATTTTATTTTATTTTATTTTTTGTTTCATGCTTGTGGCATGTAAATTATTTCATTTTCCCCTTTTTTACATTGTAAAGTGCCATGACCTTAGGATATGAGCGCTATATAAATAAAGTTATTATTACTATTATTATTATTCCATTGTTTAGTGTCCTCTCCTACGACGCCCAGCCATAAGGAAACCACATTTGGACTTGTTTTTTATCTTTGTAACGTTTTTTTTAAATCCCACAATATGGAAATAAATCATGGTCGGAATTTGCTTGCGTAGCTTTCAAGTTATTTTGTTTTGCCAAATACCCTAACTCGTATACGGTTTAAAAATGAGGAGCTCATTTCCCTTGATCAACGTTAACAGAACAGAACACTCAGCACTGGGTCGAGGGTTACTTATTCTTTCAACTACGTCCTAGAAGGCTACACAATGGAAAGTCAGAATATCAAAGTCTTCCGTCTCACTTAAAGTAATTTTTTTTGTATCTTAACACTTATTTAATGATCTCTGTTGCAGTTACTTCAGAAGTTTCGCTTGGAGTATCATCATGAGCCACTGGATTTGCTCCAGAGGCTGACCACTGTCCCTGATAAACCGGTTAAAATCAAGTTTGTAGACCGTCATTGAGCGTCAATGAGCTACTATATTTTCAGTTTTTGTCAAAGTTAAAGGCTTTAGTCTTAATAAGAGATATTTTTTCCATGAAATGCCTAGTGTACTTTTTGTTAAATTTTACATTTATTCAAAGAAATGCAATTAAAATTCACAGGAACTATTATAGTAGTCATTCATCTCCATGAGACGAGAGTAAAAACTATTTTGATCGACTATGATAAAGATCAATAAAAATTGTCTCACCATAGAATTTTTGTTAGTGTTAAATATCAATCTTGTCAATAAATGTAGTGTATTAGTATATATATCACAGCTTGTAAGGAATCCTACAATTCAGTCTTCTGACTGCAAAAGGGACAATAAACCAGTGATTTGGTATGATTTGATCTGATTTGATTTACCATTACTATTCCCGTCACATAAAAAATCATCCTTTACAATAGTTGGCAATAATAAGCAACTACTTGGCAGGAGTTTTTCAAATCAGTTTTACAACTTTTTAGATACCTTTCTTAAAGGTATGTGATTCTGACTATTTTCTGTTCGTGAATTTTTTTTTAGTCGTATATGAATAGATAAATGAAGCTTAAATTTATTTCTTTTAGAGAGTGCAAAGTATGTTTTGTGTAACTGACCCAACTGGCCGAAGGAGAATTCTAAGAGTTCAAATTTAAGTTATTTCACTATACTAAACTTCTTGACTCAAAATGTGTATTTTATTGTAGTGTGTTGTATGGTTGTATTCTAAGTGGGAGGAAAGAAACTCATGGGTGTGACGATTGTGTCGTTTCCTGGATATAAAGGATTCCTCCATGGTTTTAAATTTTCGAGTCTTTTGTCATAGAAGCAACTTTTTTTCTGGCTTGTTTGAATCTTTGTCACAAGGGGCACAAAATTTTAAAAACAAACACCATGTGCTATGTACAGCTGTTGCTTTCACAAGGCACGTGTTTACTGTTGTCACACTATTGCAAAATCTTTGAATTAATATCAAACTGTTTCTCCAATTATAAACAATTTTTCTTGGTGTTTTTAGAAAACCATGCCCATGACTATTGTCAGCTAATTGGGCAAGTCCGTTTCTTGACCAAAAAAAAAATTTTAAAAAAAGTGATAGCATCACTCAGTCTTTAACTTGTTCCTTTTGAGTCATTGAGCTGTACATTCACATTGTTTGGATCAATATTTCAGTATTTAATATAACAAGGGCAACATATGGAGTAATGAATGGTTGGCAAACAAAAACTCAATTCAGTTAAAGATCGCTCTTTGTGCGGATTAAATATTCAAAGATTTTTCCACCCAGATTTTAAAAGAACATGAATGGATTTCGTTATGCTTCTACTTCAAAAATGTATCAATTTGTTCGCCATTAGCTCCAAGAACGTATTAAACACCTCGCAAAGAATCCCAAGAAACAGCGTTCTTCAACAGTTTAAATTAGTCAACGTGTTTGAGTTTGTTTTCTCTTAACAATAGATCCCTTTGAAACCCTCGAACAAAGCTTAATCGAAATAAGCACGAGTTAATTGTCATACTGACTGTTTATTCATTAGCCAGTTCATTTAATGGCCTAAGGCGTTCAATTTAGTCGGAATCAATTTGCATAACATGGAGCTTTGACGGATAAAAATTGTCGTTGTCTACAACTAAAGTGTGATCCACTGACATCTAGAAAATAAGAGGCAATTTTCACAAAGATAACCTACATGAAATCTTCATTTTTGATTCTGCAAGATCTGATTATGCTACTCAACTGGATGTACCTAAAGCTCGTAATTGTAACATTTTTGCTGAGCTCTTTGGGGATGAAACACATTGCAGCAGAACACAAAGGTAAGAAGTTTCCTGTCACTTCAAAATTAAAAATCAAAACCCGAGGCTGAAACGGCTTATTACCCCTTTCATTGGAAACATTTCGTCTGTCCCTTCTAGCCTGCAAAAGCGAAGCCAAAAAATTGTAAGTTTTTTAATAATATCTTACAGTCTTCTTTTAATTTGAATGACGCGTTTAAACTGAGAGTTCTTTCAAGAGGAACGTGTGTCAAGTTTGACTGAGGAAGCAAACAGAGTTTTGCACTGGTAACACGCTGATCGTTTTCAAAGCCCACAGTACCTGTCCTTAAAGAACGTCTTCGCAAGCACCTCTTACAAATCAGCTGGTTGTTTAACGTTTGTATTAGAGACTGGTACAAGACAGTATAACTTTCCTTTAAGCCACAGTTTCGCACCAAAAGCGAGCAGAAAAACAAACGATCTGTGTAATTTTCATAGGGTGTGCATAAATTATCAAGTATCTGCAGAGCAAGAGAGAAAGTATCAAAAAGAACGAATATCTCACATTAATGTTTATTAAAAATCCAACAAAATAATCGTTAAATTTGTTCTTAAGTAAGTAGCCAACTCTTAGTTTCTGCCAAACTTGCGAAACAATTCAAAAAGTGAGTAAATAGCCCTTTCAATTTACTCAAACCAAAGGCAAATCCTAACTACGATTTTGAGTTGTCTCAAAAATACCTTTTTCTTTATAGTCAGCGGGAATCTTCGCAGTTGGCTTAAAAATTCTGACTGCGATGATCTTGAACACAAACTAACAAAAACCACTACAAAGTAGTGTTTGTTAATAATTTTATAAATTAATCTTAATGACAGCGCAGGTATCTTGCTCTTTAGTGCGAATCTTGGTTATCACGTGCTGCGGGCCCCCAACTGGTCGATGTTATTGATCAATTAGTGTTAATAAATTATTACTGGGCGTATTTCACTTGCAGTATTTAGGGATATTAGGACTGAGCGCTGCTTGGCTGTATAATTTTTTCTTATCATCCGAATGCTGAATCCAATAATTGTTTCATTATTCATCCAAAATATTTACATCTTCATCAAAAGATACTTACTGGTCTTGATCTACGCCAGGTTCCTGTATTCATGACTGATCTAGTCCTCGGCAGTTCCGGAGGATACAGTCAAATTCACCTCTTTTGTAGCCAGACAAGGTAACAAAATACATTAGTATTTTTTCCAACTCATTTGTTTCAGCAGATTGTCACTTCGTCTTAACAGCCGACAGCGGAACAATTCACACTCCAAATTTTCCAGAGAAACACCCCAACGATATCACATGCATCTGGAACATAAAAGTTCAACCTGGACACTTCATTTTACTTTCCTTTCACGTCTTTGATCTGGAAAGTTATAGGGGAAAATGCATTGATCTTGTGGAGGTTAAGGATGGAGGTAGACAAACAGACGAACTTCTCGGTGAGTATGCAGGTTATACGCTGGGGGCAGGTGTCTCTTGACTGCAGCAATTATCGGACAGCACCAAGCAGCTAGCGCTAGGAGTAATTAAGAATACGTATCGGTGTATCTTTATGGTACATGTACAGTTAAAGGTGAGACATTTATACGTTTTGGACCAATACAACTGTCCTTCACTCAATCTCGCAAAAACACCTTCTATATTTTGTTTGTTTTTGCATGAAAACTATTTTTCAGCAAAAACCGCAGCCCCTTATGGCGCGGTGATTTTGGTTACAATTTTGATCAATAAGGTAGTAAAAACGCAAACAGACACCACATAACAGCTGATGATTATTCCCAAATCTGTGTTTTTTAAGAGTATTGCTATCGTCTTAACTGTTTCGATTTTCATTGTATTAAAGGTAAGATTCGTGTCTTTATTACATGCAGGTGCTTTCTGTAACATTAATCAGCCGCCAAACGTTATCACTTCCAGTAAAAATGAATTGAGGCTTTGGTTTTATTCTGACAAGACTGACGCTTACCAGGGATTCAATGCTTCATACACAAGCCAATGGGAGCAAGGTACTAGCGACCAAAATCATGATACGAAAAGAATACAGGAATTTGCAAACCCTAGACGTAATGTTTTTCTACAAGCTACTGATGTGGTTTACCCGGCCTAAAGTGATAAACTAGCTGATAAACAGACAGAAACCCGAAATTCGCAGAGAGTTTCTCCAACTTGAGTTGAGCTGACAGCAGCGTATTATCCGGTGAACAGTCATTGTTTAACCGGATTTAAATACTGAGCAGTAAAAGCAATTACAAATTAACCAGAAAAAAAATTTAGGTTTTAATAGGATGCAAAAATACGGGGAGTCAATTTGTATGTTGGTTGAAATAATTGAAAGTCACCTTCCATTACCAAGTATCCTTTGCTTTATTAACAGGTTGTGGAGATTTTTTGTCAAAAAGTTCTGGAATGATTTCATCTCCTCGATTTCCCGATTATCCATATCCAAATTCCATACAGTGTGACTGGACCATTATTGTACCACGTGGTAAATTCATTCGTCTCGCTTTTTCTACGTTTGAGGTCGAATTTGATTGCAACGACAAATGTTGGTGTGTAGATCGCTTGGAATTGTGGGATGGACCCGAATTCAATGAGACCAAGATAGGGAGGTAAGAGGCAAGCTTGTTCCCAGGGTCCTTTAACCCTAACCCTTATGGGTTACTTGGCAGATTGTTCGAAATGAACAACCCTCCACCCCGCCAAGTTAAAATTACATGACGTCATTGCAACTGACCAATAGAGAATCGTCCTTTAGGCAACCACGCAACATGACACAGAACCGATAATAGATAATAGATAATAATAATAATAATAATAATAATAATAATAATAATTAAAACTTTTAGAGCGCTTATCCAATCCTGCTCTAAGCGTTTTGCACAACATTCCAAACAATTTTTTATAGGAAGAGGGTCATGTGTGGGGGATTCGCTCTCTTCCCTCATTCTCTCCCATAAGAATAAAGCAGCTGTCCATGGCTTCTTCTGTCGAGATGATGAAGTGGCTACGCAGCATGCGTTAAGGTGGATTTCTACTGTCGCGTTAGTTTCTCTTGCATACACACGTAACTTTTACGAGCGTAAAAACAGAGGCAACGTATGAAAGGTCGTGCGTAAACGTAAGAGTTGCACCTCGCTCAACTTTCACGTTTACTATTTACACACGTAAAATTTACGTGGGTACGCACGACAAAGTTATACCCAAAAGTGGAAATCCACCCGAAGTTACTGCGGTTCACACGGAGGTTTTATCGATTAATGAGAGCCTTTTATTTTCCTCTTCAGTTTATGTAGGTCTGCTTTTCCACTGATTATGTCAAAAAGCAATCGGATAAGACTGAGGTTTATAACAAACGCAGAAGGACGCTTTAAAGGTTTCTCGCTGTCATTCACCACCTCTATCACTCCAGGTGTGTGAAACACTTTTTGTATTATATTTACTATACTGTGGACCTCTTGCGCTCAAAATGTACTTGGTACTATATAAGTATATATCTTAAGACTATTGGTGTAAGCAATTACCTAAAGAAAGCGGACACTTGTCTCTGATCCAAGAGTGTCCGTCTCAGGCCGCCTTGACATCAATGCCAACATGTACATTTGCGTTTTTCGTCCACCCACACGAAAAACGATAAACCGGTTTGTTAAAAAAGCGACACTCTGGGAATCCTTATCTTATAAACCTGCGTTTTTTATCCCCGAAAAAGAGCCGTTTATGTGAGAATAGAGAACAGGATAAAAACAGAGACAACCATCTCCGTTTTCAAACAGTTTACATGAATATCCTGATGCATACGGGCGGGGTCTCAGTGTTTGAAGTAATAACCCTGGATTAGAGTGTCCGGCCGTAAAGTATATATCATCCAAGTATCCTTGAGGAATTTGACTGAATCCGCTTATATATATTAGGTTTCGGAGGTTTTAAAGAACGGTCATGTGACTTGTTTCAAGAGCAATTTATATTTGTATTTTCAGATTGTGGTGGAGATATTTCAGGATTGAGTGGAATAATTACATCTCCTAATTATCCCGAGTCATTTCCCGCGTTTACCGATTGCATCTGGCGTATTAAAGTGCCAGCTGACCGATACATATCGTTTAGATTTGAGGAATTCAAAGCCATCGACGGAACCAACCCCGAATGTTCAGCTGACTCTGTTGAAGTGAGGGAGGGCTACTCGAAAAAGGCTCAGGTTATAGGTAATTAATGCTACTATAAATGATTTTAAGGATATATATTATAAATAAACAAAAATTAATGTAGCTGTCGTGGAACATTTTTATCTGACATTCATAGGCTTGAGAAGCATAGTTTTCACATGAATATTTAATTTGTTTGTCTGTTTGTTTTTTATCCTACGCAAGGTTTGTTGCAACAACCGCTACAAACAAAAGTGGTTGAAAAATATTGAAATTGCCACGGAAACAAATAAACAAATCCACCGCTATAACACCACAGAGAAGACTAGGTTTAACAATAAAATAACATGACCTCATGCAATTTCTAGTTGTCATTTTTAACATACACGTAAGTAAACCAGGAACTGAATGACGTGTAGGATAAAAGATTTCTCAGCCATTAAATCTTTTTTTTTTCAGGACGTTATTGCCTCCAGAGCATTCCTCCTGTTATAGTAAGCAGGGGCCATGAATTGTATATACACTTCAGAGCAAGAAGCAAAGCTAAAAGTAATTTAACCAGACGATTCAAAGGAAACTTTCTGTCTCATACAACAGGTACAGACATGCATTATCAGAATGGTGATTTTTTTTTTCATCCGACTACCACCACCACTACCATTACCAATATCACCGCAACCACTTCAATCTACTACCAAACAGTTTTTGTTTTCTTATTATTGCACCTTTATTTCTCCTCAGCATGTAATGAATCTATTGGTCTTCAGGACGGAAGGGTGAAAAATTCTCAGCTTTCTGCCTCCTCGTACTACACTCTAAAACTCGGCCATGGACAGTTGTATTTGTATCCTCAGTATGGACGAATAGAAGGTTTATATTTTTGGTGTAGTCAGGTGAGAGGCCACCACCTTCACTTTCCAAATACATATGGTTTATTTAGACACGGTAAAATCATAAGTTTAAAAAAGGTAAAGCAAGGTAAAATAATAAAAAGACAATAACCTTAGATACATAAGTAACTGGTTTACACGATTGCCGTATGGCAAACTGACCGAAAATCAAAAAGCTTACCGGTTTTTATTCATTGAGCGAGTTTATGCTTCGTCTATTTTTCGATAAGTCCGTTCCAGATCTTGGCACCCGGCTATAAGAGAAACTTCCCTTCAAGTAATCAGTACCTATTTTTGGAAGAGAAAGCTTGAAATCAGCGTTTCTTAAATTACACAAAGTGTGGCAGGATATAAAGAGATTCTGCAGGTGTAAAAGGCACGCCCATCGAGGGCCTCAAACACAGTTAACATACATTGCTTTCTGTTTTTTGTGACGCACTCCAAGGGCCGTCCAGTACTATGTTGTTGTTATGAATAGTGTCTTGTCAATACAAACGCTGTCAAAACTAAAAAAAGATATGTAATTTGTTTATCTCGTTTCCGTTTTTTGCAGTTGCAACAGTCAAAGAACACTGTCAGAGAATACTTTCAAATCGACCTCCTGAACTTGACGGAAGTGACAGCCATTGCTACACAAGTACGTAGTAATGAAAATGACATAAAACTACATTTCTAATAGTTAATGAATACATTTCTTTAGGAAGTGTGAACAAGTCTAATAACTCTATTCAAATACCTCTCTCATCCCCTAGTGAGGGCTACACTTCCTTAAAATTTGTTTCTGAATGTTATTTCGAGTGTGATGGAGGCTTTTCACACCAAAAGCATGCTATGTCAGCCTCAAACTCACTGCGACAAAAGGGTTCATGTAATGGCAATCAGGTCCCCTATCACTGCACGTGAATTGAGAAAGGTGAGGGCTCACAGTCTATTATTTAAAATGTCATCCTTTCTTACTATTACTTTTACTACTATTTCTTCTTATTACTACTTATAATCTTCCGTATCATTCGTAGTGACTTGACGTCTTTAATAATGCCATATCAATATCTAGGCTTAGACGAAACAGTCATTGATGTCGAATGAAGTGAAGAAAGGGAGTCCCTTTCTCCCCTCTTTTAGGGTCACCACTTACAGGGCTCAAGTTACTGGGGATACGTGTCAAGTTATGAAGTTCAGTTCAATTACAACAGAAACCAATGGTTCGCATACAATGCTGAAAACAGTAGCAGACTGGGATTTACTGTAAGTTGGTTATTTCATATTTGTTTGGCTTTCTTTCTTACGCATGCCTTAACATTTGAGAAGGACATTCAATTTAAGGACGTGCACTTCTCAAGTAAAGAATATGCCTCTTCTCAGAGTCTCTTCTAAAAACCTTCACTAAGCGCAGACCTTAATAGTTGAAATATATACTCAGTATCAGACCAGTGTGGCACCTTTTTCTGGGCCGCCGGGGCAGATGGCTTTATGGCTTAAAAGGAGAGTGTCTCCTAGGGAACTGAAATTTACCAGAATCCTGCTCAGGTGCGAGCAATTTTGATAAACAAGACAGAAGTACTCATAAGTGGTTTGATCATAGCCTGTCCGACACTGACTGACAGCCTGGCTAATTTGATCAAGGTGTTAAAAGAGCTTTTTTCTCATTTTAATTAACAATACTTACCTATCTTCAATATCAGGAATTTAAGGGGAACACAGACGTCGAAGGAATAGTTATAAACGCTTTCAAGTCTCCCATTTTGGCCAAAAGGATTCGAATTGTCCCGACTGGTTACCAAAGCAACCCAGTCCAACTCATGTGTCTACGGGCTGAACTATATGGCTGTACGTATGATCTAGGTAAGGTAATAAAGCAATACTCCATCTGGCGATCAGTTCAACTGAATAAACAGCATATATTAAAAGTCAGGTTTCTTTCGTGGAATATTATCAAAGAATGAGAATTGGTGTACCTTTTGAATGCTTAAATATAATTTTCCAGTATTTTTATTTTTTAGGATGTGGGAGTGTCTTGTCGTTGGACAAA